AAAAAAAAATGTATCATTCAAAATATATCCCACAAAAAATAAGTTGTTTTGTTGAAAATTAATCGAATAAAAAGAAACAAAATAATTAGAAAATAATTATACATTGTCTTCCACTATTAGATTCTATATACGAATTATTAGTGTACAATTTATATTGGGCTTGTAGTCATTTAGATGGTAAGCTTTGAAAAGTCAAGACTCTCATTTTGTTTAACTGTGGTTTGAACAGTTTTGGTAAATAAAAATATAGATATTTTTTAAAATTATCAATAGAATGAGAACAAAATATTTGAAATGATTCAAGTAAGATCTTTTGTTTAATTTAAAAATAGGTTTTGAGGTGCATCATTATTTTTAACTGATGTTAGTTCTCAATTTCTAATGACTATTTTTCTTTCTTTAAGAAATAACTTATCTTAGATTATTCAATGTTAATTATAAACTTATGTAAGTATTAGAGAGTTATTATATTTCAAATAACAACAATTTTTTTTTGAATAAAATAAAGATAAATATGTTAATTAAGATTTAAAAATATACTCATCTTATTTTTTTAATTCAAAATTATTATAATTTAATTTTAATAAATTGATATTAAAAACATAATTAATTAAAAAAAAAACAAAAAACAAAAAACAAAACAAAACTCAACCCGCAAGTACCCTGTAAATCGTTCAAATGAAATTATGATGAACAATTATTGATTCGCAACCCCGTATACGAGGGTAAACCCAATCCAACCGACCCTACCCGTTAGATCGCCGCCCCTATTTCCTTCTCCTATAGAACATGGGCCCCTCCGAACGTAACAGTCTCCACTCTGGAAACCTCTTAACCACGTTCCTATATTTTGAATACACGTGACGTGACTCATAAAAATTCCTGACTCAGGCCAACTCCGGACATTTATTATTGCCACATTTATTATTGCCAGGCCGCAGGTTTCGGTTTCCCACCAAGGACAACCATTCGCGAAGCACATTCATACGGCATGTCTCCCGCATCCTCCCACTTTCTTTCTTGCCCTTTGACTGTTACCTGACAACCTCACTCTCGTATATTACACGCTTCAAGTTTTGAGTGAAAATTCCACCAAAAAAAAAAGAGTTTTGAGTGATAAGAAATTTTAAAAAAGATAAATATTATTTTTTATATAATTTATTATTATATATATTAAAATAATATATATGAATTTTTTGTAATCAAATATATAAATGTTTAAATTATTACTAAAAATGCAATGTTGTTAAAGGATAAAATAAAATGGAAACTCAAATAATTTAGGAGAAAAAACCTTTTGAAATTATGTCATTTTATTAAATTTTCATATAAAAATATTAAAATAACTTATTTTTAAAGTAAAAAGTAAATTTTTAAAATTTTTTTATAATATTTTAAAGAGATGATGTAATATTAGAATATATTTTCTTAATTTTTTTTAAAAATTTAACTAATAAATACTAATTTCATAAAAAAATCTGCCTTCAATCTCAAATGGTTGCATTATAGTTGCGATGGGCTAAAAAGAAAGTGACATAATTAGCTTTTTTACCTAGGATAATGGTTTGCGGGACGAAAGTGGGGGGCGAAAATGGGAGCCGACAAGTGAAGTTGGTTAAATGGGTAATTTTGTAATTTAACCAACTTCACTTGTCGGCTCCCATTTTTGCCTCCCATTTTCGCCCCGCAAATCATTACCCTTCTACCTATTATGTTACAATGAACAGAAAAGTACACTTGTGAAGGGAAAATAAAGGGGTAAAATAGGTTTTTTCACGCCATGCTTCTTTAACTATTTTTTTGTAGGGTTTGAAATCTTCTTTAATCTAAATGGGGTAAGGTTATTGTCATTAACAATATTGTTGAGCAACTAAAATTTCAACTTTTTTATGAAATAGTGTCTAAAAATATTTTTTAATTGGTCTTAATATATTAATTAATAAATATTAATCATTTTATCAGTAATTAATTAATAATTATACTTATTATTTATTTTCATTAATCAAAATTAAATAAAATTAATATTTTTAAAAATAATATATTACAGTTTTAATGGCTACAACTGTGTCCAATTCTAACATCCAAACAGTCTTTCTAGCCATTGGCTTCAGTGACAGGTGTTGAATAAAGAAGCGAGTATCCATCATTAATTTCTTTACTCTAAGTGCGTGGAAAAAACCCTTTTTCCTCTTCAAGACTTCAACGCAAGGGTTGTTACAGCTACATTTTTTTAATATTTTTCTCGTTATTTCCTCATTTTCTTTACGGCACTTCGCTATATATACCCCCGCTCTGCCTCCCACCCTCACACACAGAACGATCATCATCATCTGTGAACTTTATTCCACCCTTTACAGCAGCCATATTTAAAGCCTTTCATCTCCGTTGAAGGAGGAGAAGAAGGAGGAGAAGAAGAAGGAGGAGAAGAAGAAGGAGGAGAAGATGAAGAAGGAGGAGGAGAAGAAGGAGGAGAAGAAGGAGGAGAAGAAGGAGGAGAAGAAGAAGGAGGAGAAGAAGAAGGAAGAGAAGAAGAAGGAGGAGGAGAAGAAGGAGGAGGTGGTCGTCTGTGAGTTTGACGAGAAGGTAAAGATTGAGGAGAAAAAATCAGAGGAGGGTGAAAAGAAGCACAGTCTCTTGGAGAAGCTTCCCCGCTCTGACAGCAGTTCCAGCTCTGTAAGTTAATTGCGTGGCAACCTTAAAAATTTCAGCATCTTTTGTTTTATTGAGTTTTTCAGGTTTTGTTGATGTTTAAAATTATATTTGACAGTCTAGAGATGAGGAAGAAGGCGACGGAGAAGTGAAGAAAAAGAAGGGACTGAAAGAGAAGATCGAGCAGAAGATAAAGGGAGTGAAGAAAGAAGAGAAGAAGCAGGAGGAAGCGATCGTCTCTGAGTTTGACGAGAAGGTAAAGATTGAAGAGACAAAATCAGAGGAGGAAGGTGAAAAGAAGCACAGTCTCTTGGAGAAGCTTCACTGCTCTGACTGCGGCTCCAGCTCCGTAAGTTAATTTCATGCTACCTTAAAAATTTAAGCATCTTTTGTTTTATTGAGTTTTTCAGGTTTTGCTAATGTTTAAAATTATATTTGACAGTCTATCGACGAGGAAGAAGATGAAGGAATAGAGAGGAGAAAGAAAAAGAAGAAGAAGACCATGAAGCCCCGATCAACAAAGAAAAGGAAAATGACAAAGAGGGGACTGAAAGGGAAGATCAAGCAGAAGATAAAGGGAGAACAGAAAGAAGAGGGGAATCATGGTGTGCACACCCCAGTTATTGAGGAGGTTCCTCCACCGCCACCCCCGGCGGACGTGTGCTCCAGTTCCCGAGGGGACTGAATGGATCAGTACTTTCCTTTTCTTTTCTTTTTTTAATAACTTATGTGATCACTGAATTTGACTCTGTCAATCTTCAAATTTAGTACCCTTTTTAATATATATATATATAATACTTTATGCTTCCTAAAGTTTGTGCGCAAGGCCCCATGTCTATAGGGAGGTAAAGTGGGGTGTTATGATTGATTTACTCTCATAATTAATAAATATATCAATTATTCTCTCAATTAATTATATCTATTAGTGATTTTAAATAATTAAATTAAATTTTTTAAAATAAATATTATT